TTTTAAACAACTAGTCCAAATTAATAATTTTAACCCCTAATTTTCGGTCCACAAGTCAATCCATATTATTTTATTCAATTCATGTCCGAAACAAATTTAGCTACTAAATTTCATTTTAAAATTTAGCATGCAATACAATGACTAAATTCGACATTAACAAGGAATTAATTAACATGTATGATAGCGAAAAATAAATAAAATTATGATTCTTCCAAAATAAATAAAGATAAACTAAAATATGAGCTTTTGGATTTTTTCACGATTTTATTACTCTAAAATCCAATTTTAACAACTCATTGATTATTTTCCCAATATTAACTAGAAAATACAAAAAACTACTAAATATATGCTAAGTTTGTTTTAATTTTACTTTAGACTACTGTGAGTGAAATGACAGTGAATTAAGCTAATATTACGTCCGTAATTATTTTTTCTAGTCTTTTGAGTAATTAATTCAATTTATGCAAGAATAACAACTATTAACCGAAATTAATTAAAAATTACATAGACTTCGTAAAAATTACGTTTCTGAAGATAAATAACTATCTTTAGATTGGTAAACAAATATATAATTAATTGGAATAGATTAGACAATAAAAACTATTTTATTTGAATTTGGGAAGAAATACGAAATATGGGAATAAATTCTTGGAAAGTTCAAAGAACAGATCGAACAAACAAGTAACAGATTCAGATTCTACACATTGAAAGCTAAGGACGGAAATGCATATATAGAACTTACAAATTGAAGCTAAAATGAAGAAGATATGGAGATTGGAAGTTTCTTCTCCCTCTACAAGTCTAGAAGAGCTGTAGAAATAGTAGAAGAAGTAGAACTTTTTGAACTGAATTCGGGTTGTGAATGTTGTGTTTAAAATAAGGAATAAATACTGAATTTATAGGCAAAAGTTTCTTGAAGGGGGGCAGAGGGGCGGCCGCCCTTCATTCAAAGTCGGTCGCGTGTCGTCTAGTCACCGACAACCGATCGTGGCGCGCGTATCATCAGCAGCAAGCGCTCACCTAAGGGCGATCGGTTGTCAACTTTTCTAGTTCCCGTCCAAGTCAAAGTTTTACTTTTCAAATATACCATAGGCGACCAGAAGGGCTGTTAGAATTAGCCGCCTGTTCGCCCGCGTGTCGTCAAACTTTACGAGTATGGTCTTGCTTTTCTTGCTCTTCAAACTTGTAATCTGGAAACTTTAATTTTATGCTCCCTTCTTCCAATATGAACCCATTTGTTACTCAAATTGAACCAAAAATTTCGCCAAATATATTATGAATGTGTTCTTCACCTGATTTAATGAAACTTGAACCAAAATCTTTAAAACATGTCTTGCTTTCCGAATTCCATCCAAAATTACTTAAATATGATAAGAAAAATAAGTACGAAAAAGGACGTGTCACAAAGATTTTAATGATCTTTGCTTTATATCTTCCAATTAACTTTCTTTTTCTTATTTTTTTATATAATAAGTTCTTAAATTAAATCTATAATCAACTCCTATGAATTTGAATATGTGAATCTAATGTAATATGCTATTCTTGAAATAAGCATTGATATGACATTTTAAAATGAGTATAATACCAGTACCAAATGAACATACGTATCTTACAAATTGGACACTAATATGATAATAATAAGCTTTGTTATTTGAGCATCAAGAAATTTTCATTTGAGCATCAAACCTCTTCTACGGAGTATTAGAAGCATATAATTGAGTATCATGATATCTGCTCTTGTGTCTATAATCAACTCCTATGGAATCTAATGTAAAACTAACGTATTATTAGACATCCAAAGCAAAACTATCGTATTGTTGGACTTTTTAGTGAATATTTGGGAGGGATATTTTATACCGGGTTAAATGAGTGTTCACTTTTTTGTTTTGAACTTTTAACTCTTTTTTAACAGGTCCAATAAACAAGTTTTAGGTCAGGCTTCAAATAGGTCAGACTCAGTCCAGAGAAACAGGCTCGTAACAGGTAACAAATCAGATTCAGATCTATATATTCTAAATCAGGCTCGATCTATTTAGACAAAAGCCTGACCTATTTCCACCCCTAGGTCTACCATACAAATTGCCCCTAATCCCATAGACGCATGGCTACAAAACTAACCAACCATATGGTCCTGGAGGATCAAACTAGCAGTGAAGTGTGACTCATGATTACGACTTACGAATATCTAATCTTCCCAATTCCCATATTCTCTACTCCGTATACGGAGTATTTTATTTCTTTTTGTTTGTCAATATTAGCACACAATTAACACACACGATCAGATTAAGGACACACCAACCACAAACATAGCTAATGTTTGACAGAAGCTTTTCTTCTTTTAAACGCCACTTTAATTTCCACGCTGTTCGTCGTACTTGCACTGGCAGCTGGGCCAGTGTTGGCTTTTCCTCGCACGCCACGTGTCCATGATTAGGGACAATCTTTATTCACTAATCCACAGCTATCAAACCTAATTGCATATCTTAACTGTATGCTGGCATACAGCATCAGAGAGGCTTGATCTCATCTTAATCAGTGCCACTAATTTGGGCTTGGACCCACTTCCAGCTCTCATGGATTTGTTAGGTACCTTTCGTATTTCAGCTAGAAAATCTTTAAGTATAAAGCTACACTGAATGAAATTAAAATTTGTGGATTAGACTAAGCAAATAGTTCATTAATTGATTAACTAATAAATAGATAAACTTACTCACTATATCCAAATGTACCGAGTATATATTTATTATTTACAATCCGTATGGAATACGGAATGCCGGAATGAGCCCCTAATAACATGGTGGCTCGTTGAAGCTCTCGTTGAGTCTTACCGGGATCTAATTCATTTTTAATTTAAAGTTTAAGAATATTTTTATTTGAATTGATTTTAGTCTCAAAATCAACTCTAAACAGACTAGATTAGAACAGATCAGACCTGATCATATCAAATCTGGACAATTATGAAATAAACATAAACCATACATCCATCAAATCAGAGTCTTACCAGGATCAAATACAACGAGCAAGGAAGCATAATGCAAATTCTTCATTTTTTATTCCTTAGTCAAAGTACTTGAGGAATTACTTGTGTTGCTTTAATTCAAATATTAAGTAGTTACTAGTTACTAGTATTCAATTGCTTAGACTATAAAATTTAAATTGAGAATATTGTTTGTTTTTAAACTAATGTGGGGTCTCAATTTAGCATTTGGAACCGGAGCTTCTAAATTCATTTGACGGCCCGGCATATAAGAACCAATTTGATTGAAAGAGAAAACAACAACAAAAATATAATGTGAAGTCTAGCGTGATTTTTGGGAAGTGAGTCAACCTGAGTTCAAGTTCACGATGTGTAGGGCACAAGTTTTTTTAAATTGTTTTAGAGAAAATTCACATAAGCAATAAAACACAATATAATTCTACAAATAGAAGTGTAATTGTTTTCTTTCCTAAATATGGCTTATTTTCTTCTATTTTCGAAAGATTCTATTATTTTATTCGTTTAGTAGAAGTAAATAAGTCATATTTTAGGAAGAAAACACATTTAATCACATTTTAGAATTTCGTCAATGTATTAGCCCTATTTTGAACTATTTCTTTTAAAATAGAAAAAATCTTGTTATTGGAGAAAAAAGATTTGGAATTTCAAAATAGGACGGTCATATTTTGTTCTTGTTCTCTGTCATACCTTTCTCTACCTTCAGTAAAGTTTCGAATTTTTGGAGTAAATTCACTACACTTTTATATTTAGGTCAATGTTATGTAATTTAATTTACATATGCCGTATTGTTAAATTTCATGTTTCATGTTGGATGGTTTGATATTAGGGATTTATAACTCAAACTCTATTTTTTGGTAAGGTAGTAATAAATCTTGAATCATACTTGTATTTTAAAAAAATCAACTTTTTGTTGGTTTAACTGATATTTCATCAAGAATTTGAGATTGCCATGTAATTTGATATTTAACTGAGGCACACAGTCAAAAACCTTAGATTTTGGAGTAGAGAAGGGTCTCTCAATGGGATATGTGACTGGTTGATCTTTAGAAGTTCATCTGTTGATTGCTCTATTGTATAATTTTGTTATCTCTGTGTACACATTGCTAGTCATATTTTGTTTCTATTTTTTAAAAGAAAAGTCTCCAATCACTGAATAAACATTAGAGCAGAGAATTTAAATGGGAAATAGCCTGCCTAACCATCCCAAGCATGAGGTTTATTGTTTATTCAATTCGCTTCTCTGCAATGGGGATATCTAGGGAGTACTATAGCTACAAGCTAGACGTTGTGTCTTCAGATGTAATAACAATTTTTCCAAACTTTTATCAGCTAAGGAGTTTCATTGATGGGGGTTTTTATATTCACTAAACAATAAACATGATGTATCAAGAACTTTTTCTAAGTTGAAAAAAATAAATATCAATAAAAGGGTTGATATTTTGCTAAGTCTCTACCTGCGTGGGTTGAACTTTTTTAAAAAGGTTGTTTGTTTTATAAGTCTGTATAGTACTTGTCTGGGTTATTAGGTGTCCTTCAACTTTGTAAATTATTCTTGAAGTGCAAATAACATTTCTAAAAGGTAATTGTGTTATTCACTTATTCCCAAATGTTTTTGGTTTGTTTCTAAAGCTCTAAGTGGTTCATATTATGATTATTTTCAAGCTAAGAGGAAAGAGGTTGAGTCCATTAATCTTTAAATAGTTGATTTTTTATCTCTTATAAATTATTTATTACATCAATGAACTCATGTTGACCTAGTGATTATAGATTTTCAACCCATGACATTTAGTAAATTTAGTATTCCAGTGTTTTTGCTTTAAGCTTACCATAGGGTGTTTCTCGTTTGGGGTCTTTACCCCTTTTGAGCTGTTGTTTTTTCTTAAATAAGTAGGCTGAATTTTTTGCACTTGTTTATCGGATAAGTTAACCATCTATTAGCACTCTATGAATTATTGGGACACACGTATTTCATTCTTTAGGTATGGAACACGCCGGTGAATCAGAAAAGCAAAAAAAAAATGTAGAATAAGTTGGAAAAATATGAACGTGGTGAAAACCTTTCTTGAGACCTGTATCCATGAGATTTCCGTAAACGGGCGGGAAGGTAGTAGTCTGAAAGCTCTTTCTTGGAAGAAAGTTGCTGACATTTTGAATGGGACTCATAAGTTTTCTGTTGATCGAAGGAAAATGAAAAATCATTATGATTATCTTAAAGGAAAATATGGAGCCTGGTTACTCCTCAAAAATAAAACAGGCAATGTGTATGATCCGTCCACCAACACATTTAATCTTACACCCGAGGAATGGGAGATTGAAATTAAGGTAATTTTTGCCTAAGGGACACCTCTATTTATTTTGTTGTTAATTTCTTTCCTATACGGCTATACTTTACATATTTTTTTAACACAGAAAAATAAGTACATTGAAACTTTGAGGACTGCATCGCTTCCATTCCCTGAACTTTGTGCACAACTATTTGACGAGTCTGTTACAACGAGCGTTGAGAGTTGGGGACCAACTTCAGTCGAACCTATGCCACATGGACATACTTCATCTGATGGTCCAATTGTGGTTGAAGAAGAAGTGGAGTTTCAAGGTGCACAAGTTATGTCTACATCGGCAGGTCAATGTTCAAGCCTTAAGCAATCAAAAAAACTCAAAACTAAGGGCAAACAAGGAAATTCAGCCATTGATGAAGAATTTTTGAATGTGATTCGCTTAGTTGCTTCAAAACATGTGAAGCCCGAAGCACCATCGAAACCTGAACCACCAACTTTTGATGATTGCGTGAACAAACAAAAAATGCTTGGATGGGAAGGAGATGACCCACTATACGGCGTTTCCTTCGCAATCTTTTGTGATCCAAATGATCTTTATCGCGAAGCATGGATGAAAATTGATGCGGCACTCCTTCCAAATTGGGTCAAAATGATTGGGAAAAAAATTAGGAATTATGTAGGTTGTTAGTTTCTCGTGCGTTTGTTTGAACGTATTCAAGACTACATTTGGTATTTATGACTCTTGTTTGTTTGTTTTTTTGGATTAATTATGACTCTTGTTTGTATTTTCATGGGATGACTATTGTATATTTTTATGACATTTGCTATATTTTGTGACATCTAAGAATGGAATGTTTATTTATAAATATCTAATTTGTACTTTTTTGCAAGGTTAATATGGATCTTGAGGCGCAACTTCTAATCCTAATGCTTGTGTATTATTATGTGAGGCGAAGAAATTCTACTCTAAGAATGCCAAGAATAAGAGATAACACTTCTGCATTAACTGGACATGCTTACACACAGGTGTTACTAGATGGTTCTAATACACAATGTGTGGAATTAATGCGTGTCTCTCATGCCGGAAATGTACTATTATGCAACCATTTTAGACAAAGAAATTGGTTGAGTGATAGTAAGCATATAAGTGTTGAGGAAAAGATGGCTATATTTTTGACAACAATCGGAAATAATCAGAGGTTTAGAGTGAATAAAAGGAGTTTCCAACACTCTACATGAACTGTTCACAAATGTTTTCATGAAGTTCTACAAGGAATGGTGGAATTTGCAAAAGAAATGATAGTACCAACAATGGCCAATTCAGTCCTAAATTTGTGAAACTGGCAAAAACGTTTGAGAGGTTTTTCCGGTATGTTCTCATTTTACATTTGATTCATTGTTATATTTAAAAACTTATGTATTACATATTTTCATTATGTTATGAAGGGAGCGGTTGGAGCACTAGATGGAACTCTTGTACACGCAATTGTGTCCGATGAAAAGCAAACTATTTATAGGGGAAGAGGAGGGGGTCGGTGTTATCAAAACGTTTTAGGAATTTGTGATTTCAATATGATATTCACTTTTGTTTGGGCTGGTTGGGAAGGAATAACACATGATTCTCGAGTACTAACGCAAGTTGTAATTAATCCTAATTCCGGCTTTCCACTTCCTCCACAAGGTGCGTATCATTATTATTTATTCTTTCACTAAATGAATTTAATTAAAATTAAAAAAAATAACAGTGGAATTTGTTACAGATAAACAGTGGCGGAACCACTTAAGGGCTTGGGGGTGCTTGTGCCCCTGCAGCCCTGCAGTTCTTTGATTATATATACTCCGCCTAACTCCTAAGTATGTGTTATTAATATATTACAAGGCACCAGCCTTTTGTAACCAAATTAGAAGCGGTAGTGAGTGGAACAAGATTTTGAAGTTGAAGCTCCTCTTTATTTATAGATTAAGGGGTGGGGAATGGGGTTGCAGGTCCGGTGTGGGACATTTGTTCATTGTAGTTCTAGTGGAAGCCAAAAACTCATCTACGTTAGAATTGAAAAGGCAAGCAATTTATTATTTCGGTGTGGGACATTTCATGAGTTTCCTTGTATGTTGATTATAGTAGTAGTGGGTATTAGAAGAAAACCCACTATTTCATTATTATATCAGTATTATTGGTGTTCCAATTCTTGTTATTATATACTGTAATTATTATCATCATCATTATTATTATTGTTATTATTATTAGTAATATTGTTGTTGTTGCGGTATTTTATTACTATCATTATCAACATTCTCACCATTCTCATTTTTATTTGTTTTCTTGACAATATTACGGTAATAAAATTTATAGATGAAAAATATTCACTACAATGAAAAGTTTGAATGTAATTATAATCACTAAAAGTTACTCAATCATATTCTTATCTATTGCCCTTATTTTGGCCATATATGAGGTATTACACAACATTTCTTTTTATTATTATTACGATTTGATCATTACACTACCTTGTCCAGTTCTAGTTTTTGTGTAATTGGTCAATTTATACTCCGTATTTGTTAGATTTTGGACTCAACATTTTTTTTGTTGAAAATGAAAAAAGTGTGATTTTTTTAATAACATTATTTAACATTTATAAACCATTTAATATTAATCTCATTTGATTTCCAATATTTATGGATAATTAAAATAATATCACCTCTATCGATCAAGTCTGTAATTTGGTGCCGCAACCTCTTCGACACTTCCATTTGCCGTCATCCGTCTTGCCTAGTTAAGACCAAAATATTAGGGCCGCAACAAGCCGCCCCCTTGTGGAGTTACCAGAGACCTTCCCTTTCCCATGATGTGCCCCTCCAAGATCTCCGACCTGGTTCCGCCACTGCAGATAAATATTATCTATGTGATGCTGCATATGCAAATACTCGTGGATTTTTAGCTCCATATCGTAACACAAGATATTGGTTAGCAGATTATTGACGTCGTCGTGCATTGACTAAAGAAGAAAGATTCAATCATTCGCATGCACAACTCCGGAATGTGATTGAACGTACTTATGGTGTCTTGAAAGCAAGGTTCCCAATCTTAGATCAGATGGCTCCTTATCCATTTGCGATTCAAAGGAATGTGGTGATTGATTGTTTTGCGGTTCATAATTTTATTAGAAAATCCAACATTGATAATGACTTTTTCAAAGAATGGGAAGATGACACTATAACCAACAATGAAGCACAAGAGGAACCTGAGGATTTTGGAGAAGAAGTGCACGCAGCACAATGGGGCACACAAAGTTTACAGTATATGACGGATTTGAGGAATGAAATCGCTAATAGACTAGTAGGAAACCTTTAAATTTAAAGTGTTGTTCTCGTTAAGAGAAATGACTTTTTTTTATCATGTAATGCGATTTAAATTTTATTTTAATAATTCGTAGCATTATTATTCTTGGGCATCTGGAATTATGTTTCAGAACAGAGCAAGTAAATAGACAATATACATTCACCACTTGTTCCAGACAGAAGGGTTATTTGGTCACTTAACGTGATTCGGACTTCTCATTCAGCACACTTAGTAAACAGTCTGTTATCCCACTGTCACTTAATCCAGACAGACAACTTAATGCAGACAGACATCTTAATTCATTCATGACTTAATGAGAAAAAAAAGTAAAGAGCCCCTAACTGTCTAAGGTTGCCTAGACGATGCCATTCTAAGGAAACTTGACAACTAAGTTTTATACACTAAGCCCAACCTTTTCAAATCCAATCCAAAGTGGTATATAGGCCCAACCGCTTAATAGTGAGAACTATGTAAATGTAAGCTTATAGGTGGAGTCACATGTGTTCCATCAACATCAATATCAACAACAACACAACAACAACAACAACAACAACAACAACAATAGCACCACCACCAGCACCACCAGCATCAGCAACAGCAACAGCAACAACAGCAGCAGCAACAACAACAACAACAACAACAACAACGGAAGTAATAATTTTAGTTATGATTAATTCAAATGATAATATAATATAGTAATGTTTAATCTTGACCTCATCTTTTCTGTTTGTACTCAAACAAATACAAACTTAGAGGTTTGTGTTTGGGGTAAGGATGTTTTCTTTTGGACTGCAATTTGCTGGTCTGGTCTGGTCTAGTCTGATCTGGACTGAAAACAGTCCAAAAGAAAACATCCTAAGGTGTCATGTTGTCTTTCAAGGGATATCTATTTTTAAGATCCTCCATTATACATCCACATGTTAATGTAATATACAACAACAACAACAACAACAACAACAACAACAACAACAACAACAACAACAACAACAACATCCAAGCCTTAGTCTCAAAAGATATTGGGGGGACATGTTAATGCATTATCTACAATGAAACTTTAAAAACAAATTGTGCTTGGAAAAGGATGAGGGTTAGAGAAGGAAAGTGAAGGATTGATAGCAATTTTATTTTATACATGTTCTAACAAGAGTATGATAAGTTTTAATTGTCGATATCTAAATGATCTTAAAACTTTGAATTTCTCTATTAAAAAAATCAACCATTTAGAACTTGCCAAAAATAGAAATGTGAATTTTATTTTGGACATACCTAAAAAAGGAAAGTGTGAAATTTATTTAGGATCGGAGGGAGTATATGATTTTGATTTATGTAGAAAATGGAAAAGAATGTCAGGAAATAGAGCATTGATTAAAAATCAACAAACTTATTTAGAATTGTTCTCAATCACTTTTATTTATTCGCATTATAGAATTATAATTTATCATCAATATATGTACTCCCTTCATCCCCATTTAAATGTCTCGTTTTACTATATTGGGATGCCTCTATTTAAATGTCACATATCTTATTTGGTAAAGTTTGTGTGGTTCAAAATCATTCTTACTTTATTCTTACTTTATTCTTACTTTATCAACTAATATCAACCACACAAACTCACTTTTCTTAAAACTCATATCACCCTCCACCGGGACATTTAAAAGGGGACGGAGGTAGTATGTAACAAGCGAAAAATAAAAAACCATTGAATCATCGGTAGACTACAGTACTTTTTCTTAAACATTCACAAGATAATTATAAACGCAAACATAGACCTTTTTCTTTCTTCCCTGAGTGACTTTCAACACAGAAAGCTTTAATTTACTAAACTACTTGTAAAGATTTCCTTTAAAAAAACTACTTTGTAAAGAAATTCCCTTCATACAAACTAAAATGACTAAAAGTCTAAGACCAAGCAAGGAGTTTTACATTACCAACAAATAATGAATCTTGGTTGTGTATTTAAGAAAAAAACAGTGATTTTAAATAAACCTATTTTCCATTTGAAACTTGAAAGTTCATGAAACTGGCTACACCATTGTGGATGGCGGGTTCCAAACTCCAAAGTAGTTCATGAATCATATTCTACAAAAAAAAAAAAACTTAAAACACAGGCAAGCATAATTGTTGTTTTAATGATCTGATTCAAGAACCAGCTCTTAAAAATTTAAAACATCTCCACCCCACACTATTTCCATCAATAATAGGACCCGGAGATGAGATGTTTTTACTTTCAATATCAGACGAGAGTAGATCAGACCATATTGGAAAAATTAAATCCAATTAAAAACATCTTAATTACTCAACATGAACTTGTACTACCTGCCCTGACTTGAAACTCTGGCACCCGTCTGACTTGAAACTCTGGCACCCGTTTGCCCGGTCCTATTTTGTGTCATGTTACAAGTGTTAGGGTATGTTTGCAAAAGATTTAAAAAAAAAAAGAGATTTTCGGCTTTTGGCTAAAAAAACTGAAGAGTATTTTCAAGTGACAACTTCTGCTTAAGTTAATCACTTAATAACTAAAAGTTAGAATCTGCTTTTTACTTTTTCTATTAAACAAAACCACATATGTTACCAAACACTACCTATTTTTACTTTTCAACATCACATTGTTCTTAAACACTACCAACTTGTACTATTATGAACTTTTTTCAAAACCACTAAAAAAGTTACTCCCTCTATCCCACTTTAAGGTTCCCACACGATTTACGATGTTTGACTGACCATAAAGTTAACTGATCCCTGTCATTAATAGAATTATTTTTGGCAAATAAAATTTACATATTCAGAAACTACATTAAAACCACTACTAAACCTACAAAAAAATAATTTTAATTTCATATACTTTCGATGTATAAAGTAAAAGATTAAGAACAATGCACGTTGACCGGAGAATAGTGTACGGGAACCTTTAAATGGGACAGAGGGAGTATTTTTTAAAGCAGAAACAATTGCAAACACTCCCTTAGTAGGTGACCAGATTTCACCGGACTTTAGGGTCGCGTCTACTATCGCTCGGATCTCTTCTTTAGAGCTGTCAAACGCGTTAATCCGACCCAACTTGACCCGTGACGGGTTATGCTCTATGTGGGTTGGATCAGGTCAACCTGTTTAGTGAAGGGTCGGAACTTTTACAACTTTAATCCAACCTACCTAATCCACAGGTTAAATGGGCTGGCCCACAGAGCAATGTATAAAAATATACATCGGCAATAATTACCTAATGCGTAGTAGTATATATTTATATTAGTAATAGTATATATTTTTACTGGTAGGAGGAATACACGTATAGGGAATCAAAATACTAAGCATAAAATACTTGTTAAGTTTAGTCAAAGAATATTAAAAATACTCATTTTACAAAGGCAAAGATCTACTTAAACTTTTTGAGTAGTTATTTGTATATCATGATTACTAATTGCTAAAATTTATATTCAACTTTACTTAAAATACTTAAAATATAAGTTTGAACAATTTATTTGAATAGTTATTTACTTATTATAGATTTTATTTGAATGGTTATCATAGAACAATTTATTATTTTGCAATGTTTATAAAATGATAAGTATATAATTGTAATTATAATCCTTCCAATAAAAAATTGTAATTATAATAATTTTGCTAGTAAAAGAACAACACTGAAATTAATGATAGTCAAACTATATGTATTTATTTTGGCCCGCGGGGCAACTCGCAGCCCGAGTGAGTTGACACGCAAAACCCGCGAACTAATCGGGCCACAAAATGACAA